TCAAAATCCATAAACTCTCACTATATGTTTAGTTTTACTGTCGGGTCACTCATTACTGGATCCGCGAGCTGCATGATACTGGTATAATAGATTGCCCGATCGGGCAACCAGCAGGTGAGGCTTCATGGCCCGAGCTAAATACTAGATGGCCCCGGGCCACCTCCCTGCAGCACATACTCTCCACAGCTTTATCAGGAAACCGTATTACTTCTCTCTATTATCAATGCTACTTTAGTTATAGCCTGATATATGATAGCTAACTTTACAATGTTGTGATGTGACGTTAGCTAACATTCTGTAGCTAACACCGGTCACTCACCAAGATAGCTGCCCAGTTCTCCACTGGTTCTCCTCACACCAAAGCTCAGTTTCTCTCCGATGGCCGTTATTTCTTCTAATCCTTGGCTGCTCCTGGTCTCTTGGACGCCTAGCAGGCTCATAATTATAAGGTTGTGGTCCGTCATATGTATTCGAATATTCATGTTCAACTTCTTCTGTGTCTTCTGTGTCGAAACTAGCATTGGGATCCATGTTTATTAATACGTTACAGAGGCCGCTCTCCCCCTTGTTTCCCCCATGTTACGTCACACGCGGGATGTCATGTGCCGAGGCTTTTTTATGCGGAAGTGAACATTTCTTACAAAAACGACGCCAGATGTCACTGTAGTGTATATTTCTGTATATTTTTTTGAAAATCTAGTGTATTCATCATTTTCCTACACATTTATTCACAGGTGTCTTTAACCTGGAAGTTGCTCTTTAACTTAACCATACTGTAAGTGTCATACAGGAAATCCTATTTTCACTGGAATTTTGTAAACCTGAGTGGGATCAGTGCGAACCGCAGACCGGCCTGATAATAGCAAATTCCACAGATTAAATTATTCTAGCTGTGACCTCACAATTGTTTCCGCTTGAAAACTTCTTGTTTATTATCTCTACGACCTAGATTGAAAACATAATAGGTACAATCTACACTTAAAAAAAGTCATCCGGATCGAAGTTCATTAAATGATGTGTTATTTAAGTGATGTGCTATAATTACGCTTGCAATTGAAAAGCAAAAATACTAAAACATTGCAAGTTGAAATAAAACATTCACATGTGTTACATTTTCAAAGCAACTACTCTTTAGTCTGTGATGATGGATAATAATATCTACCTGTTCTCTTTCACACCTCGCTCAGTATCTCAGGATGTGACTAATCATGGAAGCTCCAGTAACATCATTATGTTATTGGCAGTTTAGACAGGGACTCATGTAACAAGATGATTGGTCGGTCTCCTCACAGAGGCCAGAGATCCGGGACTACCCTGTTTTGCTAAAGAGGAAGAATACAATTAAAGGAACTTGTATAGAAAGCTCTTGGTCACAAAGCTGACTATATTTCCTTCCTTGGAAGGTGTGTGCGGTATGATGCTACAGTAGGTCACTGTTCAGTAATGTTCAGTTAATTACTCACTGACAAATTCAATGTCATTTGATCTAAATAAAAATCTAGGGAAAATGTCAGTCAATGTCAAGGATTGCACAGTGTTGGCACTTGAAATCAGTGAAGTCAGACCCAAATAAGGCCATCAAATGCCTTTTATTGACAGGAAAACAGACAATTGGAAGAAACTCTGAAGGAGATGACAAAACATGTATCTTCTTCTGGGGTTGTTAGTACGGCCGTAGTGAACTGGCAAGATATAAAAGCACTAATACACTTTTCACTTACTTGATTGTATTTTTTGCAATTTATTTTACACAACAAAGTTAATAAATGCATAGTGGCCAACAGAATGAATGTTCTAAATGGAGTTGCTGCTGATTATACGCATGCTTGTTTTGGTTTTGTGACCACTGTGTTTTTCTGGTTCACTCTCAAAGCTCTTATATACTTTGTTCTAGATCCAACAAGCAGTAGTAAAAAAACCTGCTGTAAAGAATCTGTTATTCTTCTCACAAATATCCAAAAGTGAATGTCGGAATGGGTAAAAGTGTGTCTGCTGGATTTGTAAATAGGCAACGGTTTGTTCCCCATTACGAATGTTTAAAGTGAGAATATGTTGTGTGTGTACAGTGAAGGATACAAATCAACCAACATTGCTTTCATTTCCTCTGCCACTTTCTAGGTCCCAGAAGAGGACATAGTGAGCGTAACAGACATGCTCCAGCACCAGAGGAAAGACCCAGCAGCCAGTTGATCTCTGACGTCCCGTCTGAGCTGGATGACCCTCGCCTCTCACTCCAGCGGCCAATGGTGGCACGGCAGCAGGAGGAGAGGCTAACCCTGTGCCTAGACTAGCACTGCATCGCCAGCAGTATTAACGACTACGAACTTGCCATGAACACCAGAAGCGCTTCTCGATGGTGTGCACACAGTTTGTCTCCTCCTGTCTTACCTATCTAAGGCGGGATGCACTGAATCCCAGGGGGCCCACAAGCTGACACCTGTACATCAAAATGCACAATCACCCCAAAACACAAACACACACACTCGCACATTCAAATTCACAAGCACAAAATCAGATGAATGACCCTTTCTCTCTAATGCAGATATCTCTTGGTTTAGGTTGATTTGGTTATAATATTATTTAGCTGTAAAGCAGAACGCCTTCACATACATTTCACCAGTGCTATAAATGCACAACTTAGTCTTCCGGGCCATGTGTCTAAATATCATCTTAAACATTTAAAGCCATTCGCAAGAATTGCAATTATCCTTTTTGTGGAACTGAAAGTGTGAAGTTTAACATGCTAGGCATTGTGAGAAAGTTAATCTTACAATAATTTTCAAGCAACAAAAGTGAGTCTTCAAACAGGACTCACTCGTTCTGGTCTGAGGCGAATGTGTAGGTAGTTCTTATATATTAAAACTACTACAAATGCTGTCAAGCAGGACAGAGGCTTGGTCAGTGTTTTTTTTTTTTTAAGAGGTCAGTGTTTCTTTACTTTAGTATTACCCTAGGTCAATAACACTATGTCTTATTCCTTTTTTGTTATTTGCACAATAAACTTTTTATTTAGCTCACTCACAGACATTTTCTTTGGTACAAGTTTTGTACAACTTTGAAGTAAACGTATTCTGTAAACATTTGTAATTTTTGTGCTGCTTCATTCAATAAAGAGTATTGAAAATATTTACTCTGTGTTGACTTCTTGTCAAGAGTCAGTTCAACTCATAGCACAACTTGTTCCAACAAATAATGACTACCTCACTGACAGAGTATCCTTTAACATCTGTCATTCATCATGACTCAACTTAATCAGGGAGGTTTGAGCGGCATTCAAATCAAAACACTTAAAACTTTTTAAACTTGTGTCCACTTGAAGTACAGAAATATTTACAATATTTCTGAAGGGGTATGAAACTATTCCACAATTTACAAGAAAATAACAATGACTTAGCAAAGTGTGAAACATGATTTTGCCAACCAAAGTATGTTTGATTATTTTTCATTCTTATATTAATCTCACCATGTTCTTTACCCCCTTTGCTCCATCACGACCCTAAGGGTTGGGAACAACAAACAAACAACTGTCATGAAATCATTTAAAAAAGGGGGTTTCTATATATGTGAGAAATTCTAGTAGACAGTGAAATGGTCTTAAATGTGATGAAAATATATTAAATATAACATTTTAAGCGTTTTAACTATTTATGGTTGTTAACCCTTTTTTGCCAGATATTATCTGAAGAGCTCATGATACATGTAATTAACACCTCTGCTTAATCTCAAGGACTAAGAAAAACCACACAGTCATCATTTCAAAAAAATGTCATAATGGAAAAATGACATTCTTGCCGTGTGTGTGCGTGTGTGAGTGTGGGTGGGTGTTGATGACTGAGCTCTTATACTGTGTATATATATAGGCCAGAAAAGTTGCTATTTTTACATGATTTGTTGTTTATCAAGTACCGCTGAACCTCAACAACATCACTGTCTGCAATGCATCTTAAATGCAATGGACTTCTCTGGCACTATGGTAAATATCTTAAAAATAATATATACTACTACAAGTTTAAAAATCTAAGTTGTTATATCATGTATTTAATAATGCAGTTTATTATTTAGCTGCTAAGGTTACTTCTCCAAAAAGTAGAGCCTATCATAATGCTGACAAATCAGAAGTAAAAGTTGCGTGAATGTGCAGGCCTAAATACCATCATATTTGCAGGTTAAATAGGCCTATACAATATCGAAGGAAATACTTCAAGTGATGTGAAAGGATTTCCATGTGTACTCAGAATACAGAAGAGGCAAGCAAGGCTAGTCACAAGGCTATGAGAGGCAATTTTGGAAAATGTTGCTGATTTTGATTTACATGTGATAGAGCTCTTTCCTTTGTTCCCCCTTGTTTCTAAACTTAAAAAAACAAGAGCGTATATTTGATTATTGTTTCTCACTTAATTTCAATCACTTGTTATTTGTCTTCTTCCTTTCTTAACTATTTTGGCCAAATACAAAGAGAAATGTGAAGCAGAAATCAGTTTACCCTATAATTTTTTAACATTTTATTATTATTTTTCAATAACCTGTATTCACATATTCTTTTATTAGCACTTGTCTTGATGCTCCTGGGACTTCAGTGGAGGCCAGGGATTTCTGCTCCGACTGGCACAGGCTGTGAATTAAACCGCACTAAGGATCTTACAGGCCTATTGAAACATGAAACAGATATACTACTGGAACAATATGTAAGTCCTTCCCTTTGATTTTGTCATGTTTTCATATTCTCCAGGCATGGTTTGTGATATAATATCCGTGTTAACTTGCAGACAAAGTGATCGTGCAGCAATTTTGGCTTAAATTTCAGCCTCCCAACGTGTTGATGTGATCTAATGGGGTTTTGTCATGCTATCGCTGATGTGTTTGACAGATGTGTTTGACATTGGTTTAACATGGATTTACTATTGCAACAGTGTTGTACTAACGCTTATGCAAAAATGTAGTAAAGGAGAAGTATGAAGTATTATAAAATGAAAATATTTGGCTAAAGTAAATGTACCTCAAATGTGTGCTTAAGTATAATACTTGAGGGAATGTACTTGCTTTCCACCACTGCATTAGTCCCTGTAATATTTGTATGCACAAATATAGTTTTAATCGAGTTATTGTAATGAGTGCAAACAGCCCAGTAATTCATTGCATTTCCTGTAACTGCTTCACAGGGAAAGCCACCCAGTGTTTCGCATGTTGAATATACAGTATTTTAGAGTTTTTGGTTTGAATTAGCAGTGACTTTAAGGTGAAGTCTGCAATTAGCGACGGGACACTTTTAATACGGCTCTGATATGGTGACAAGAGGTTGAAGTGTAAACCATTAGGCGGATATTAATGTGATAAAATGAAAAACAGAGATGCTTGATCCAACCACCTATACTGTGGCACCAATCATGTACCATAAATAATATAAAAAACATGAAATGCCTAGAAAAAAACCTTACTTTCAGATACCATTAACAGCTAACACTAGCATTGTAACGTTACTGTCTCATAGATGTTTGGATCTTTGTATTTATATGGTTGTTATCAATGTAAGCAAAAATGCAGTCACTAATTATGTCTGAAAGAATTGTAAAGAGATTGACATTTTGCAAAGAATTCAAATTGCTTAAACTTTTTTCATGTTCAATACCTTAATCCACTTGAAAAGTAACAATAATGACTTTCACCTATCATTTAATACAATGAATTTATTTTCATTACTTGTTTTTCTTTATAGTTAACATTTCATCATCACGATAAGAATACACCTTCTGATGATTGTGATCCCGACTCCAATATATCTGGAACCAGCGTTTCCGAGCGGATGCAGGACATTTACTCAAAGAATCTGCTTTTTCATTGGCACATTACCAAGCTAAACGAATATCGGCATTTGGATCACCGACTCAATGTCAAGGGAAAGCTCTCCCTCCTTTCAAATAAAATAAAGAATATTCTCAAAATCATGAACGCTTTGTCACCAACACCAGCCACTCCACAGTTGCCCAACACGCATGACTATCTAAAAAAAATATTTGGAAAGTGTGTCCTTGAAAACCTGAAGGCCTGGCTTACACAGGTGCCAAGGGTACTTGAAGAGGCAGTAGAGGAGTGTGACAAATAGACTGCATGAATTTACTCTTGAAATGAAAGGTCCACTATTATACTTTTTTAATATGTTGTTGTAATGGTCACACAAGCCAAAAAACATCATCACAAATTGGCCTGAATCTGATCAGACTTGTTTTTATATAGATGGATTAGGAAGAGAGAGAATGTTTTTTCCTGAAACTTTCCGAATCCCTTAACAGAGAAGGGACACATTTATCTATAAAACACATGAACAAGTTTATTTTGCATAAAAGGTGTCCTTTAAAAGAATCTGATAAAATGGTGATAACAAATCATCTTCTCTGGTATATTACGCCAAAAAACATGTTTAAATTGTCCTGAATATCTGCCTTGAAAACCCATTGAATGTGTGTTATGGTATTATGTGGAGACTATGCTACCCCTTGCTTTAAATAATGTTTTTTTCTGTCTGCTATTTATAGATTTTTCATTTTATTATGAATTTATGTGAAGTCGGGGTTATGGGCAGTTTGTTGTAGCTTAAAGGGGACATAACTAACTTTTTCAGGGCAAAAATATTCGAGCACCTGGAGTTCTTACCAACACAGAAACTGAGAAATTAGACAAAACTGTTTTGTATGTTTATTTGAAACGGGGATTATTCACATATTTATGAAATATGTATTTATTTTCTTACATGGGTCCATTGAAATGTGAACTTGTCTTTTATTTATTTATTGGTAATTTATTATTTGACATAACAAAAATGTTGGTTTCTTTGTGTTATTTATTTCAACAATATGCTTACCTGCAGCAAATGGTACATTATAGTTAGGTGGTAAAGTATCCGGCCGCTTGCAGTGAGGCTACGAGCTTTATTTATTATTGTTATTCATTTTCGTTAAACTAAAGTCATTTTTTTAATCAAACCATGTTTATTTTTCGTTGTTGTTATTGTTAATAAAGGCCACTTTGTTGCACCACCTCCTGTTAACTATAACCTCAGTCTTTGTTGCTCTATTTGTAAGTTATTTTGTGAAAACATCTGATGCCTTATTCATTGTACTCTGACTAAACCTAATAAAGCAATTTAGATTCTGTAATACTCTGTATAAGTGTCCTTTTTATTTTATTTGATAAAAGAGCTTAAGGTTTTCATAACTGCAACAACAAATCAACTTTTGGAGTTAATCTTTTATCAGCCATGCAATGTCCCTCAATGCAAAGGCACAATGTACTGAAA